TCCGGTCGTGGGGCCTGAACTCTGGGCCTGGGCGCTGTCCCTCAGCTCTTCAGCTCAAGGCTAGCGCTCTACCACTTGAGCCACAGTGCCACTTCCGGATTTTTTCTTATGTGGTACTGAGGAATCGAACCCAGGGCCTCATGCATTACAAGGCAAGCGCTCTACCACTGAGCCACCTTCCCAGCCCTAGATAACATCTTAATAAATTTAAAAGTTAAACTTACCAAGTTTTGGTAAAAACACACAGATCAGATTATTACTTTTCATTTTTCCTTTTTCTTTTTCTTTTGCTGGTCCTGGGGTTTGAACTTGGGGCCTGGACACTGTCTTTAGCTTCATTTGTTCAAGGATCATATTTTACCACTTTGAGCCACAGCTCCACTTCCAGTTTTCTGATGGTGAACTGGAAATAAGAGTATCACAGAAATTCCTGTTTGGGCTGGCTTCAAAACGTGATCCTCAGATCTCAGCCTCATGAATAGCTGAGATTACAGGCATGAGCCACCAATGCCTAGCTAGATTGTTAATTTTCTACCTAAAATATCATAAGATATTTTAGATATTCATTCTAATTTTTTTTTTTTTTTTTTGGTCAGGCCTGAACTCTGGGCCTGGGCGCTGTCCTTTAGCTCTTCAGCTCAAGGCTGGAGCTCTGCCACTTGAGCCACAGTACCACTTCTGACTTTTTCTGCTTATGTGGTGCTGAGGAATAGTACCCAGGGCCTCAGGCATGCAAGGCAAGCGCTCTACCACTGAGCCACCTTCCCAGCCCTCTCATTCTAATTTTTATTATTTATTTTTGACAGTTCTGGAGCTTGAACTCAGGGCCTGGCCACTGTCCCTGAGTCTCTTGGTGCTACTTGAGCCATAGCGCCACTTTTGGCTTTTTCTGAGTAGTTAATTGGAGATAAGAGTCTCGCAGACTTTTGTGCTTGAGCTGGCTTGGAACTGTGATCCTCAGATCTCAGGCTCCTGAGTAGGTAGGATACAGGCATCACAGGCACATAGCTTTCCAATAAGTTGTATCCATCCAAGGAAAGGGTGAAGAGGTAGATTTTGTTTGTGTGTGTACACGTGTGTGTGTGTGTGTGTGTGTGTGTGTGTGTGTGTGTGTGTTGGGATTTGAATTCAGGGCCTCGTGTTCTTGCTTACCTTTTTCCTCTCATGAGTGGTGCTCTACCACTTAAGCCACTCCTTTACTTCTAGCTCTTTTTGTTGTTGGGTTTTTTGTTTTTTGGTTTGTTGGGGGTTTTTGCCAGTCCTGGGGCCTGATCTCGGCCTGGGCACTGTCCCTCAGCTCTTCAGCTCAAGGCTGGCCCTCTACCATTTGAGCCACAGTGCCACTTCCGGTTTTTTTTTTTTTTGCTTACATGTGCTGAGGAATGGAACCCAGGGCCTTATGCATGCAAGGCAAGCACTCTACCACTGAGCCACCTTCCCAGCCCCTGTTGTTGTTGGTTGTGGGGCTTGAACTCTGGGCCTGGGTGCTGTTCCTCAGCTCTTCAGCTCAAGGCTAGTGCTCTACCACTTGAGCCACAGCCCTACTTCCGGTTTTTTCTGCTTATGTGGTGCTGAGGAATCAAACCCAGGGCTTCATGCATATGAGGCAAGCGCTCTACCACTGAGCCACCTTCCCAGCCCCACTTCCAGCTTTTTGATGGTGAATTGGAAATAAGAGTCTCATGGTCTTTCCTGCCCAGTCTAGCTTTAAACTATGATCCTTAGATCTTGACTTCCTGAGTAGGTAGGATTACAGGTGTGAGCTTTCAGTGCCTGGATAAAATGACAGTTTGCCAGTGGGAATCTGCACTTGGAATACGCTTCAGTGAAATTACCTTCAGCAGATATACACTAAGCAGGCAGTTATCCAGTCTCAAAAAATGTCCTGTAAGGAACTGGGTGCTAATCATGTCAGAGGGAAACACTTGGCTTTGTGGGACAATTTGTTAATGGGATGGCTAGAATTTGTGTAGATTTCTGCATCCAGATTAACTAGCTGTAAACCTCTACCACAGTGAGATCCCTATAAACAGATCAAAACTGAGTGATCAAGTCTATTTTTAAACTTAAAAAATAAGGCTACTGGGACTGGGAAAGTGGCTCAGTAGTAGAGTGCTTGCCTTGCATGCATGAAGCCCTGGGTTCCATTCCTCAGCACCACATAAGCACAAAAAGCTGGAAGTGGCGCTGTGGCTCAAAGTGGTAGAGCGCTAGCCTTGAGCTGAAGAGCTGAGGGACAGCGCCAAGGCCCAGAGTTCAGGCCCCACGACTGGCAAAAAAAAAAAAAAAAAAATAGGCTGCTATCTGCCAAGAAAAACTCATAGATGAAAGTACTTTATGTAGAAAGAACTAAGACAAGTCACTATGTTTGCCTTAAGAGGTTTTAAAATTCTCTGTGCCCTGGAGATTGATGTGCCAACATAGGCATCAGCTGAAGACCCAAGGGCAGCCGAGTCAGTCTTGGCCAGCTGGCCCTAGTACATGCAGTCTCCCACAGGCAGTGACTCAGCAGGTTGCCTGGGGGTGTCAGGACGCTCTCTCCTTGGAAGTGAGCTTGCACACAGGCTTTTGGTGGCCTGATAGTTTCTGAGCAAAAGACTCATTCTCTTCCATACCACCAATCCAGGGTTATCCAGGCCCTTTGATGGTGGTTCCTGAGTGGAGCCCATAGAGATTCTAATGAGCCTATGTCCTAATCCTGGGGAAGCTTTGATGGTGTCTCTGTGCTATTTGTATAGGATATTTTTGATGATGATAGTGATTTAAAAAGATAGGAGTACTTTAAAGACCTGGACAGCAGGAAGAAGAGAGTATAATTGTAATTTTTGGACCTTGATCAGCTGTGAAGCACAGGTGGATTCCTGCAGTATCTGTGTATTGGGCATCTTCAATTGGACATTGTATCAGCGACTGCTGTACAAAGCTGAGCCTTTCCCTCATTGGAGAGACAGGGTTGGTTAACTAGTTCCAGAGATAAATGGAGAAATGCAGCTGGGCATTGAGAGCAGAGCAGAACTTGGCTGCTCAGGGACCAGGATCAAGGAAGGTTTTTCTCGGGAGGAGTGATGGAAACTCTCCATGTCCGTGACACTCTCCATGCCTGTAAACTCTCCCTGCCTAAGTGACTGGAACTCAGGGAAGACAGACAGCCAGCTGCCAGAGGAGCTCAGAGGCCTCCTGGGTCCAGCCAGGATTCGGATTTTCTCTTTCTTTTCTTTTCTCTTCTTTCTTTCTTTCTTTTTCTTTCCTTCTTATTTTCTTTCTTCCTTTCTTATTTTCTTTCTTCCTTTCTTATTTTCTTTCTTTCTTTCTTTCTTTTTGTTGTTAATGTTGTTGTTGTTGGGCTTGAACTCTGGGCCTGGGCGCTGTCCCTCAGCTCTTCAGCTCAAGGTGAATGCTCTACCCCTTGAGTCACAGCACCACTTCCAGTTTTCTGGTGGTTTATTGGAGATAAGAGTCTCATGGAGGTTCCTGCCCAGGCTGGCTTTGAACCTCAATCCTCAGATCTCAGCCTCCTGAGTAGCTAGGATGACAGGTATGAGCCACAAGCACCTGACCAGGGTTAGGATTTATCTACAGTCTGAATATAAGTGGGAATATTGGAAGCATTAGAGAAAGGAGGGAAAGGGCTGGAAACACTTGGGAGGTGGTGTGGGAGACAAGGATGGGAGGGAAGCAGGGAGTGGAGTAACAGGCACTGCAACACTACAGTGGGGGTGGGTAGAGGAGCACTCAGGTGTCCAGCCCACAGCACTGGGAGGTCATGGTGCCTTTGCCTTTGCTGACTAGGCTAGCTTCTCTAACTGTTTCTTTGCTGTCTGCTCTTTCAAACAGGGTAACTTCTTTCAAAATATTGGTTCCATCACCCTGTTTGCTGTTTTTGGTACGGCGATCTCTGCTTTTGTAGTAGGTGGAGGAATTTATTTTCTGGGTCAGGTAAGGAAAACCTTTTTGAAAGTCACTGAAATTCTATAGTGCAAGCTGGTGGGTGGGGCTTGTGGTGGGAGGAGGCGCCCTCCTGGGAAGAAAGCTCTTCTCAGCCTTCACTGCTACTGCGTGGCAGAAGCAACTGAGGGTTGTTCTAGGTGTCCCAAGAACTGTGCTATCTGGAATTGAGTGATTCTTTTTCTCTTTATTTCCCCAAATACATGATTCTATCTGCAAACCAATACTTTCTTAAATTGGAACACCTAAAAACAAGTCAGAGTTTCCAAATAACAACACCACCTCTGATGTTGGGCAGACTGAATCAGAATATGAAAGTTGCTCTTTAATAAAGTGAGTGTTTTCAGTGGATGACGATTCTGAATCTGATCACTCAGTTCTGTAGAATTCATATCTCTGGATTTTCCACCTTTGGAAACGATTTTGCAGTGGCACGTTGGGTGCTGTACATTCTACTGTGAGTTAATTTGCTTTAGCTTGGGCTAAACACTAGGAAGGTATTGTCTAGATTCGCATTCTGCATGTCCCTGCACAGCCCACTTCTTTTCCTATTAGTTCAGTGGCAGAAAGTTGAGGCCAGGTTGAAATCGGTCACCCAGTGATGGCAGATAGCTCTTAGTTTGGCAGCCATGTTGTTCTTTTGCTGGCCAGAGCCATCCCAGCTGGCATTTGCCTCCCTGCTGCCTCCACGGCTCCAGGACAGATGTGTCGTGCCACTTTCTTCATTGCTCAGCTTCTAGCATCAAGGAGAATGTACTGTAGAGAGGGAGGCTGCAGCTTCAGCCTTGTGTCCCATACCTGGGCCACATGGTGCCATGCACTTCTCACTAGAACATGTGAGTTTTCTTTAGTTTTCCAATTTGGGGAGTGAAGATGAATGTCCTTATTAGTTATTAATAAAGCACTAATGGCATTTCAATCTTCTTGGCTGTTCTCCAAGGGGTTTTTTGTGTCTGTGTGTTTGTGTGTTTTATTTTACAGGCTGATGTAATCTCTAAACTCAACATGACAGACAGGTAAATCTTTCACACTGTAACCCTTGCAACTGCTGTTTAGACTGGGACGTTTTCCTTACATTGCTTCCCGGGTGTGGCCCTTCCTTTGTCCCTTTGCTTGCCACGTTCTGATGTACAGTCCATTCTCGAATTAATTTGTCACTGAAGTGAATCAAATTCGATGGGGAGTGTGGAAGCCCCTAGGCAGAGCATGTTGTTTAGCAACTCCTCCCCCATGTACACACACTGCACCATAGTCCTCTGGTTAATGCTGAGAGTCAGCCTCAACTGACTCTGCAGCCTTCTCTATAACCACCATGGAAGGTGGGCTTCTTGTTGGTGGAGTTGAAGGATGAGAGGGTATTCACTTGTGGGAGGAGGGCTGTTGTAGTAGATGGCCTTTAGACCTTCAGGGCCCCTGTGAGTACGGGCAGGCAGCTGCTCTCTACAGGATTTAGTCCAGAAATTGTCTTAATTGGCTTAACAAGAAGCATCCTAGGCAGCTGTGGGTCTAGATACCAGCTCTAGGTCTGAAAAAGGCCCCAGACCAAGTGTGCCCTCCCTGAACACATACCACCTTGCTGTGTGTTCCTGTGTCTACCATCATTACCTGCTGTGATCTTGTGGTATGGCTGGGTGTTCTGTCTCAGTCCTACATGTGGGGTGGCCAGAGCTTTAGTCTTTTTTTGTTTCTCTTGTCTGGTACTTGGGTTCGAACTTAGGGCCTCTTGCTTGCTCCGCTTGCTTGCTTGACTGGTACTCTACCACCTGAACAGGCTTTTTCCTAGTAATTTTGGAGATCGAATCTCAGGGACATTTCTTTCCAGGTTGGCTTCAAACTACAATCTTCTGGATCTCAGCCTCCTGAATGGCTAAGATTACAGACATGAACCATAGGCATGACAAGGTCTCCCTGTGTAGCCCAGGGTGACCTTTAACTCTGTCCTCCTTCCTCTGAACTCTATCCCCTAGCACTTTGATTACAGCATGTACCACCATGCCCTGCCAAGAGCTTCAGTCTTTAGCTGCATCCTGGGAAATGTTCTTCTTTTTTTTTTAATTGTGAAAATAACATACAGAGGGGTTACAATTACATGGGTAAGATAGATAATGAGTACATTTCTTATCAAGCATTGTTGCCTCCTCTTTTGTTTTTGTTTCCCCTTCCCATCCCCTCCCCTGGAAATGTTCTTCTGATAACAAGTCTGATCCCACTCAAACCACACTAGTCCACATCCTCTGCCTGAGACACACCCTCTGCTTGTTTTTATAAGGAAGTTCTGACATAAAAACAAGTAGCCCCCCCCCCCCACCACTGGTGGCTCACACCTATAATCCTAGCTATTCTGGAGGCTGAGATCTGGGATTGCAGTCCGAAGCCAGCCTGGCCAGGAAAGTCCATGAGACTCTTATCTCCAATAAACCACTAGAAAACTGGAAGTGGCGCTGTGACTCAAGCGGTAGAGCACTCGCCTTGAGCTAAAGAGCGCAGGGACAGCTCCCAATCCCAGAGTTCAAGCCCCACGACCAAAAAAAAAAAACAAGTAGCCAAGCCAGGTGCTGGTGGCTCACGCCTGTAATCCTAGCTACTCAGGAGGCTGAGATCTGAGGATCGAGGTTCAAAGCCAGCCTGGGCAGGAAAGTCTGTGAGACTCTTAACTCCAATTAGCCACTAGTAAACCGGGAATGGTGCTGAGGCTCAAGCCGTAGAGCGCTCGCCTTGAGCTGAAGAGTGCAGGGATAGCACTGAAGCCCAGAGTTCAAGCCCCACGACCGACAAAAAAAAAAAAGTAGCAGGGCTGGGAAGGTGGCTTAGTGGTAGGGTGCTTGCCTCCCATGCATGAGGCCCTGGGTTCAATTCCTCAGCACCACATACACAGAAAAAGCCAGAAGTGGCACTGTGGCTCAAGTGGTAGAGTGCTAGCCTTGAGCTGAAGAGCTGAGGGACAGCACCCAGGCCCACAACTGACAAAAAAAAACAAAAAAACAAGTAGCCAATGTGGCATTACTGTCCCATGGAGCTAGAGACAAAGCAGAATTGGTGCCTGGTATTTCTAGATATTCTGTAAATAGAAATGTCTGCAACCCATCAAAAGTACAGGAAAGTGTTACAGCATTCATACTGCAACTGTTTGGGGACAATGGGCAAGAGATGCAGATGGTGCTGGATATGTTTTTGTGAAGTTGTGCTTAGACAAGCAGGACAGAGCTAGGCAGTGTTTCTCTGGCCTTGTGCAGACAGACTCTCCCTTTCCTTCTGGAAGGAGACTGTCCTGTGGGCAGGGACCGCTCTAGACTACACATCCACATCCTCAGGATGGCAGAGTTGTCAATAGAGGAGGGAGGAGGACATGGCCACAGGCCTCTGCTGCTGCTGAAGGGTGACCATGCTCCTCTCCCTACTTGCCACATGGACTTGTGGCCTAGCATTACTAAGTGTTTAAAAAACTAAAAACATGGGCCAGATGCTGGTGGCTCACGCTTGTAATCCTAGCTACTCAGGAGGCTGAGCTCTGAGGATCAAGGTTTGAAAACAGGTTGGGCAAAAAATTCTACAAGATTCTTTATCTCCAATTAGCCACCAAAAAGCTAGAAGTGGAGATCTTGCTCAAGTGGTAGAGCACCAGCTTTGAGCAAAAAAGGTAGGGGACAGAGTGCCTGGGCCCTGAGTTCAAGCCCCTTAGTATCAGCACAAAAACAAAACAAAAAACCAGTTCAGGGTAGGAGAAAAACAAAGGAAGGGGGTAACAGTGCTCAATAGGAAATGTACTCATTACCTTACTCATGTAATTGTACAGTATCTTTACAATAAAAAATATTTTAAAAACAAAACAATTCAACTAGAAGCTGGACATCAGAGTCTTTCCCTGTGATACTTGCCACTTGGGAGGCTAGAATCAGGAAGACTGAAGTTCTAGGTCAGCTCAGGCAGAAGAGTTCTCAAGACTCCTTCTCAACCTGTAGCTGGACACAGTGGTGTGTCTCTCTGCCATCGTAAGCCATGTGGGAGGCTGAGACTAGGAGGAATAGTTCCAGTCCAACCTGGGCAGAAAGATCTGAGAGAGGGAGACTCTGTCTCAACAGAAAGAAGCTGGATTTGGCAGCAGCATCTCAGCAGCCTAAAGTTAGGTGATCATAGACCAGGTACCAGGAAGCCTGACTCTTATCTGGAAAAAAAGAGGGGGGGGTAGGGAGGGAGGAAGAAAGAGAGAGAAAGGAGGAAGAAAGGAAAGAAAAGAAAGAAAACAACATACAGCAAAAACAGGACTTAAGGTATGGGTCAGTGGTATGATACCAGCCGAGGAGGCTCAAAGCGGTGAATTCAGCCTTCGTACTGCTGAAGTAACAAAAATAAAATCAAAAAAAGAAAAAAAATGAACCAAGCTCCTATGGCTCACATCTATAATCCTAGCTTCTCAGGAAGTTGAAATCAGAGGACTGAAATTTAGAGATAACTTGGGCAGATAAATGTTTGAGAACCAGCAAAAAGCCAGAAGTGTGGCTCAAATCCAAGCCCCAGTACTGACAATGAAAAAAAAGGAGGAAAGGGAAAGGAAGATTTTTAATTTGAACCTATAGTTTCTGTGTGTGTGTGTGTGTGTGTTTGTGTTTGTGTGTATGTGTGTGTTTCCGTGCATGCATGCATGCATGCACCAGTACTGGGGCTTGAACTTGGCCTTGTATTCTTGCTTGGCTTTTCACTTAAGGCTGGTATTCTACCACTTGAGCCACACCTCCACTTTCAGTGTTTTGCTGATTTGTTGGAGTTAAACTTTTCTACCTGAGCTGGCTTTGAACCAAGATATTCAGATTCCAGTCTCCTGAGTAGTTAGGATAACAGGCGTGAGCCACTAGTGCCCGAGACTTTTGGCTTTTTAAAATGAGGAAGGTGGGAAATGGCACCATAGCTGGCCAAGCTGAGTGACCCTGAGACACAGGCCTATTGAGGACTCAGGAAGCTGATTGGTCAGGTTTCTCCTGTCCAAAATCAGAAATACTCCCCCAATATAGATTCCTAGCGAGAGCTAATGTGATTTACACTGAGGGGAAGTTTCAGGCAACAAGATGAGGTGAGCCGCTCTGTAGAGGGCCACACCGCCTGCTGCCTCAGCGTCCCTGTCCTGCTGTCCGTTCCCACACACACCTTCCCCTGCCCACCCCTCGCCCCAAGCGTCAGCTTCAGTGCTTGTGGTTCCTGATCTTGATTCCGGCCCAGGATACCACAGCCTCTGTGCCAAAGTACGTCACTGCTTTCTGTGCTCACACCTACACAAGCCAGTTTTAAGTAGAAGATTGTTTCATAGTATGTAGGATGAAGTGTCCCCAGGGTGGGGGCTTGGCAGGGTGCCTCCAGGGCCCAGTGTTGAGCACCTTTCCCCGACCATGTGCTGGTCTCAGCCCAGCTCTCACCCCATGAAGCAGTTCTCCTCACCCCATCCAGCCTTCCCTGACTGAGGACCACCTGTCACTAATGACCTGGTCCAACATTGCTGATGGTCTTCACAGTCCACGCTTGGGCCCCAGGCTCACATCTGGAACCCAGTGTAACATCAGTGTGGGAGTATAGCCCCCAGAGGAGAATCAGCATGATGCTCCCAAGACCAGAGATGGGGTGCTGCCTGGGAGAGTAGAGGAGGGCTGGAGGCTCCTCACAGCTCCCCGCTGGCCTGTAGCACAACCGCCTCAGCCTTCACCCCACTGCCATGTCCTCCTCCCTCATAGTCCCTCGTGATGTTGTTCTGGGTGCTGTGGGTGAGGATAAAGGGAAGGAGAGGCCAGCTCTGGGTCTAGGTGGCAGTGCAGAAGGCCTAAGGACTGCAGCAGCCCAACAGGACCTCCTACTGCTGGGGGTGGGGGGTGGGGATCTTCCCTCCCATTTCTGCCAGACTTCCCCCCCCCCCCCGCAAGTGTATTGGCCTGTGTTCTGCAGGTCCCTGGGAGACACCCATAGCAGAAAACCCCTTGGAGCTCAGATGCATGTGATTACCTCAGGGTGGGCTCGAAGGTCCTCAGCCTGGCATCTGCAGGCTCATGTTAATCATTCCAAGGGAGTCTCTGTGGAAGCCTGAAGCCCATTACCGATCCATGAGAGCAGTGTGGCTGGCCAGGCAGTAGATGCTTCCTGCCGGCAGCTCTCCTCTCCTGAGCTGCTCAGTGTGGCAAGACTCACTTCCTGCCCCTGGCTGGTGACTCCAGTACAGTGCCTGGCCTTGAAGCTGTGTGTTTGCCCCATGTGATAGAAGGGCCATGCCTAACCTTTCTCTGAGATGGAGGCCTGATTGCCCATGGACCCCTTGGGTGACAGAGGGATTGGGGTGACTACTTCTGCACGGTGAACTTGCAGGCTTGTGCCAGCAGGGGGTTGAGGGCTTTGCATGCCTGGAGCTGCTGGAGCTGCTGTTGGCTTTGGTACTTTATCTTAGAGGTTGAATGGAGGCTGGGGTTGTTCACAGATGACACTGTGTAGCCTGTGGCAGGTGGCAGAGCAGAGGTCAAAACCAGCAGGTCGTGCCAAGTGCTGGTGACTCATGCCTGTAATCCTGGCTACTCAGGAGGCTGAGATCTGAGGATCATGGTTCAAAGCAGGCCAAGTCCATGAGATTCTTATCTCCACTTAACCACCAGAAAACCGGAAGTGACGCTGTGGCTCAAGCAGTAGAGCACTCGCCTTGAGCTGAAGAGCTGAGGGACAGCGCCCAGGCCCAGAGTTCAAGCCCCATGACCAACCAAAAAAACCCCAAAAGACTAGCAGGTTGTAGGTCATTAGTCCGCTCTAAGAAGTCTGGGCAGTGTGTGATACTTAAGCCAAAGTCTTGTATCCATCACTAGTCAAAGTAAAGTCTCAGTGCTGCTGGTGGAAAACCAGGCTGTTCTAGCAGCTCTTGTAGTCAGCCTTTGCTGTTAGTGGGCGCATACACTATCTTACTTTGGGGCTGGCTACAGTGCATACCTACGTGGTGACAAGAGTTGTTGACTGCATGCTTTACCATGTGGACTGAGCAACACACCTTACAGACCCATCCTGCCTTTTCTCTACCTCCAGCTTTGCATTTGGCTCCCTGATATCTGCTGTGGACCCAGTGGCCACCATTGCGATTTTCAATGCACTGCACGTGGACCCTGTGCTCAACATGCTGGTGTTTGGAGAAAGCATTCTCAACGATGCAGTCTCCATTGTTCTAACCAAGTAAGTGTGGGAGCAGAGACTCAGGTTTCCCCAGTGGCCTACGTAGTTGGTGGCTTAGCCTCTGTGGGACAGGCTCACTGCTGCCTTTCTCCATCTCTGCCCTGGCAAGCCATCTGTGCCATAAGACTATGTCAGGGTTCAGGGAAAGTGGGATGTGGTGGTGCACTCCTATGATCCTGGCAACATAGGCAGGGCAGGAAGCAAGACCTTAGCCTAAAAGTAACCAGTAAAGAACAGGGCAGGAGGTGGCTCAGTGGTATTGCAGCAGCTTAGCAAGTACAAGGCCTTAAGTTCAAACTTCAGTACTGCCAAAAAAAAAAAAAACTTTTTCAAAAGCTAAAAAAATTCCTTTTGAGGGCTCAGTGGTAGAGGGCTTGCCTTGCATGCATGAGGCCCTGGGTTCGATTCCTCAGCACCACATAAGCAAAAAGAAAAGCCAGAAGTGGCGCTATGGCTCAAGTGGTAAAGCGCTAGCCTTGAGCTGAAGAGCTAAGGGACAGCGCCCAGGCCTAGAGTTCAGACCCCACAACCGGACCCAAAAAAAAAAATTCCTTTTGAAAGCTGATATGTTTTCCTTAGCTTTTTTTTTTTTTTTGGGGGGGGGTCTGGTCAGTGTGTGATACTTAAGCCAAAGTCTTGTATCCATCGCTTATGTGGTGCTGAGGAATCAAACCCAGGGCCTCATGCATGCAAGACAAGCACTCTACCACTGAGCCACCTTCCCAGCCCCTGGTTTCCTTGGCTTTAAACTACTTATAGCTTTAATCTGTTACTATGACAATTTATTCTTGTGTTATTTGCTATAGATGCTATATGCACAAGCAGCATGGTGGTAAACTTTGAGGAATGAGAAGCCTGAGCAGGACACGTAGCCTGCAGAATGTTGGAGGCCTGGCTCAAGTGGTAGATGCTGGCTTAACGAGTGCAAGGCTCTGAGTTTAAAAACAGAAACACATTTGAAAAATACTATGCTGAAAATTGCCAGGCCAGCAAGAGTCTGAAGTTAGCTTTTGTTTGTGTGGAGTTCAGAAGCGTAGGAAAGTCTCAGCCACCGCTGTGTGGCAAGAAATCATCAGCGTGAGCCTGCCTGTAGCTAGCAGTGGAGAGGGTTTGGGAGGGACACTGTGTGTACATACATGTAGTTGGCAGTCTGTGCTGGGAACTGGGCAGCCATAACCTTCCACAGCCTTTCCCAAAGACAGCCATGGTGGGATACATATTCAGGAGAGTCTAGAGAAGTTGTATGAAGGCAGACATGTTTTTTGCAATATGTGAGCAAGCTATATTGGAGACATTAATGTCTTTTTACACTAGAATGTATTGAACAACTAATCCACAAGCTGTATACATGTCATTAGCATTAATTTGCCAAGTATTATTGAATTCACTCGAGAGCCATGAGCCATGAACAGTACAGATTCTTCGTTTTTCTTTTCCTTTTGTGCTGGTCCTGGGACTTGAAATCAGGGTCCAGATGCTGCCCCTGAGCTTTTTTGCTCAAGACTAGTGCTCTCCCATTTGAGCCATAGCTCCTTAGTTGCTAGTATTAACTGTCAGGTCTCACATTATAGTCACACAATAGCAACGTCTAGGTTACAGAATGGCTAAGGCATCTGCAGAGTTCAGAGCACTGTGTGCAAGTTATGGGTAGAGAGCCGGCCCAGAGCAGGGAAAGTCTGGCTCACAGGCGGAGAAACCGCTGGAGCGGAGTTTGGGGACTTTGCTTTGGCCAGTTAACCTGGACAAGTGATCTGATGACTTCCTCAGTGTGTCTGCCACCTCTCTGTCTTGAGCCTGAGGGAAGAGGTTTCATCTGGTTGACAGATAAGCAAGAGCTTATCTGATATGATCTGATATAGTTGTGGATGTAATTGTTTATTGCAAAAAGTAAGTTCTTATCTGTGTGCATCCTGGTGTGTCAGCACATGGTGGTTAAGTATATAAGGAAAATGTAGCCACTCTGTTTCAGCCCTTGTATTTACATGGAGTAGTTAGGGGCTGGGAGGTGAGTGGCTTGAGTAATGGAGCACATGCCTGGTGGGTCAAGGACCTCAGGAGTTCAGCCCTAGTGTCGCCCAAAGGAAACTGTCACTTCATAAAATGAGCAGTCAAGGTTAGGCACAGCCATTAATGTGCTGTTCTGTCCATGGAGAGCCAGAGCAGGCCAGGCCTGTCTGCCACACACTGCTCAGGACACTGCAGCCCCACCATGGCTTCCTGCACATCGCCCCAGCTGCACTGACTCAGGGACTGTCCTCCAAGTGCCGTGACTGAGGCGGAATGGTGCTGTTGGCAGCCCTTGGTGTTGACAGAAAGTGTGTGGCTGCACGCTAACCTCTGCACGTGGGCAAGGAACAGGCCGGACAGAGCGTGGACAGAGATGGCCCTGTGGGACTTAGCAGGGTTTTTCTATGAAGGAAGTTGGTCCTGTGAGATCCTACCAGTGGCCTGTCCTTGTGAATGGGCAGGGCAGGGGTCCCGAGCAAGCGGCACAGTGTCGTGGGGGAACATAGCGGGATATTGGCTGGGGCCAGGAAGATGGAGGATGACCCACCAGGAAGTGCCAGGGACATGATCATACTAAGACAGCCTCAGGAAAGCTGTAAGGAAGGAGGTCATAATGGCTGTGGTCTGTAGGAAGACAGGCTGTGGTGGAGAGATCTGAAACATGGCCTGGGAGGAGGAGGGGGTCGGGCGAGAGAGGAATGGAGGGGGTAGGGGGGGGAGGACTGCCATAGCGCAGATAGCTGCAGTTTATGCACCTGCTGGACCCTGTAAAACCAGCAGCTGCATTGACGCCCGCATGGCATCGCTCTGTTGCAGGGAAGGGGCGTTCTTCCTCCTCAGTCCTGCCTTAGCTTGAAACCTCCCGCGGCTCATCACCCAGCCGCTCCATTCCAGCCTGAATTCTTGCCAAAGCCTTTGTTTCAGGTTTTATTGCAGATTTCAGCCCTACCCACTTCACATTGATACCCCTGGTCCTCTGGGTAGGCCTGCCCCTACCTGCTCTCGCTTGCCACTGCCCCCCTCCCCTACCAGATCCCCCTCCTACACCCAAACACTCCCCCACTGTGCTATACAGGCCTGGCTGGCTCCCTGCCTCCTTCCTCCCGCTGCCTCATACTGCCTGTCCTTCAACCTGTGAACTCTTCTTGACCCTAAGCAGCATCGCCTCAAGATCCTTCTGGCCCTTGCCTCCCTGTCCTGCCCCTCCAGGTCCTTGGCAGGGACTTTGCCCTCACCCCTGAACCACAGAAACTGTGGGACAAGAAGGTGAACAAATAAATGTGTGACTGACTCACTGAAGAGCAAGAGGTGTAAAACATTTTAACTTGTATTTTATTTCCTAGCACAGCTGAAGGCTTAACAAGGAAAAACATGTCAGATGTCAGTGGGTGGCAAACCTTTCTACAAGCCCTCGGCTACTTCCTCAAAATGTTCTTCGGCTCTGCAGCCCTAGGCACCCTCACTGGCCTAATCTCTGCATTAATATCCTTTTTGTCTGCAGGCCTTCGGGGCAGGGCAGGGTGGGGTGGGATGAGTCATCTTTATACCCACTTCCCTTGCTATTTCCTCTGTTCCTTAGGAGCCAGGCTTAAAGGCAGATTTTCATGCTGAGTTTTAGCTGTAGAAACTGAACTCGGGGACTTTTTAATTTTAACATGGGACTACTCCCACATCAGGAATGACTTTGGGACTTGTCAGGGCTCCTTGCTTCCCAGAGGACACTGACTCACAACTGTCCTTCCTGCTGCCATACTCACAAAACTGAAAGCTAGTTTTCTTTGGAAATATGAAATTAAAACTATCTGATCAGCCAGGCGCTGGTGGCTCACGCCTGTAATCCTAGCTACTCAGGAGGCTGAGATCTGAGGATCGCGGTTCAAAGCCAGCCCGGGCAGGAAAGACCGTGAGACTCCTATCTCCAATAAACCACCAGAAAACCGGAAGTGGCGCTGTAGCTCAAGTGGTAGAGCGCTCGCCTTGAGCTGAAGAGCTGAGGGACAATGCCCAGGCTCAGAGTTCAAGCCCCACGACCGACAAAAAAAAAAAACAAAACTATCTGATCATGTGTTTATGTGGAAGGATTACAAAAGGACTTGGGGCGTAACCTCTGTGAAGTTATTTACACGGATTTTGTAGTTTTTCTGGCCAGAGAAGGAAAGAGGCCTGCTGAGCCCTGACACCTTGATTGTTGGGGAAAATTCACCAGGATGGAATAGGAGAGGCTCTAGATGGTGCGTGCAGGTGCCTGAGCTGCGTTCCCAGGAGTGAGTGGCCCTGGTCTTCCTTCTAGAGCCGTCCGCTCTCAGAATACCAGAAGACTCCCACTGGCTCCAGGCCTGTTTCTCTGCCATCCTGTTAACATTTTCCCATCTATCCTCTTGTTTAAATCTGACTCAGTAGTCGGCTGACAGCTTCTCCTGTTGTACCAGTAAACAGCATGGCAAGGAGACGGCTTTTCCCACTTGAGTTTTTCCGTCCTTTTTTTTTTTTTTTGTCAGTCGTGGGGCTTGAAGTCTGGGCCTGGGCACTGTCCCTGAGCTCTTTAGCTCAAGGCTAGCACTCTACCACTTTGAACCTCAGCACCACTTCTAGTTTTCTGGTGGTTAATTGTAGGTAAGAGTCTCATGGACTTTCCTGGCTGGGCTGGCTTTGAACCATGATCCTCAGATCACATCCTTAGGATTATAGGCGTGAGCCACCGGTACTCAGCTTTCCTTCCATATTTAGTTTTTTCTTTAGAGCAGTCCAGTGTTTGAGGACTTGAAGCCTGGGTATAGTCTGTGAATGGGGTCCCCATGTGCACAGACTCCTCTCAGGGGGGTGAACTTGCTGGAAAGATAGGTCTTCCACAGGGCCAGAGGCCCAGAGAGCCCATGGGTAGGGGGCAGGCGGTGGCCAGGGCGCGCCGTCCTCCGGCAGCTGTCACAGTGGCCCCATCTGCATTTTTCAAGAAATTCACTTGGCTGATTTTAATTCCCCCAGCATTTGTCTCCACCATTCTCAATTCTCAGTGTTTTAGCACATCCCATTTTTGTGACAACCATGTGTTCACAGGGAAGAAAGTCTATAATGACAAGTTCATCACAGCCCTGGTCAGTTCTGCGTCTTCTGTACTTGTTCACTGGAAGGCAGCTGCTGTGGTTGCCTGTGTGTCCCATCCAGCACCCCTTGGTCCCTTTTCCTTGACGGCCTTCACGTGCTGAAGCACATCGATCTGAGGAAAACGCCCTCCCTGGAGTTCGGCATGATGATCATCTTTGCCTACCTGCCCTACGGCCTGGCGGAGGGGACCTCGCTGTCAGGTAGGCGACTGGGGGCCGGGGGGCCTGGCTGTGGCCTGACCGGCCTGCTTGAAGAGGAGGCGGTTGTTTTAACGAGTCTCCAGAGGCAGAGGCACTGGGAGGGTCCCTCCTGTACTCATAAGAAGACCTGCGTTGCGCTAGATTACACTGCCCAAGGTCGTCTGGAGTTTGCAGAGTAGTGGTCATCTCGACTCAAGATCTGGTGCTCGTCACCTTCCCCTGAGACATTTCCCTCCAAACAGGCCATGCAGAACCACAGGCCAAGGCCAGCAGAGGGGCCAGCATGTGCCCCTCCCACCATGTTAGCAGGGTGGGGCGTATTGGACACAGTATGCCTGATTTTACTTTTTTTCTTCCGCTTTGTGTCATTCCTGAGACTTGAAATTGGGGCCTGGGCACTATCCCTGAGCTCTTTCACTCAAGGTGCTCTGCCACTTTCAGCCACATCGCCACCTCCAGTTTTCCGATGGTTAATTGGAGATCAGAGTCTCATGGACTTTCCTGCCTGGGCTGGCTTTGAATTGTGATCTTCAGATTTCGGCTTCCTGAGTAGCTAGGATTACAGGTGTGAGCCACCAGTGCCTGGCCACATCTCTGTTCTTATTACCGGTATTTTACTCACAGGATCTCCTTTTGGGTCTCCTGTCATGTCTATGCTTTCTCTATATCCCTTACTGTGGGACTGTGCAGTACACTGGACTCATTTTGCCAAACTCCCCCTTTGCCACACTGCCCCCTGCTGACCAGCACCCAGGCTGAGTGAGGGCCTGTGGGCAGGCACGCTCTACCTTCGGCCCCTCCCAGGGGCTTGCAAGGCATGGCAGCCTCCTCTGTGGAAAGAGTGAGGGTTGGGCCCAAATTTCTTACATATGTTTTGTGTTGTTCTTTTTTATCAGTCATATGGTTTGAACTCAGGGCCTGGGCGCTGACCCTGAGCTTTTTCATTCAAGGCTAGTGCTCTACCTCTTTGAGCTACAGTTCCACTTCCGGGCACAGATTTCTTACAAGAACCACCTGGTTCCTCTTGGGCTGACTTTACAGCAGGGTAAGGAGCACAGAGTGCCTTGTAGCAGGCTGGTGAAGGCCAGGAAGCCAGGGCCCATGAGTGCTGGCTGACTCCCTGCCACAGGTAGAGGTTGGCTTCCAGGCCAGCTCTGTGTGTGTGTGTGTGTGTGTGTGCGCGCGTGGGTGCGTGCGTGCATGGGTGCGTGGGTGGGTGCGTGCGTGTGTGTGTGTGTATGTGTGTGTGTGTGTGTGTGTGTGTGGTTTTGCTTCAGCAGTGCTGGAGTCACGCTCCCATATGCTCAGGCTTTACCTGCGTTGTGTCCCTGCCCTGGTGTTACCTTTTGGTGGCAGAGCCTTCATGGTGCTGCTCTCCTGGAGGTCACCTGTACCTATGGAGAGGAGCAGAGGAACCTGACAGCGCAGATCACTCCAGAAGGGGTTGCCACAAGGAACCTGTGCCCTCTGAAACCTGTTTGGTGCTCTTAAGAGCAGGTGAACTGGTCTCCTCCCTGTGTCCCTTTGCCCATCTGGTCATGTGTGTCTGGCAGAAAGCATTCCTAGAGTCTCTGGGGATGAATGAGCAAAGGAATTTGCTCTTTCCTGGTCCTGTGAGTCCTCTGGCACACAGGTGACAGACACCTGCAGCTCTCCTTGTTTCATAAGCCTTGGCATATACAGACAGCTGACAGCCAGTGTCTGAGTCATTCTGTGATATATGCCAAGTTAGCCAGTGAGACTATTTCCCTAAAATGAGAGAAGTGAGGTAAAACATGGCTTATACAATTTGACTTTCAGTTTGTATATTTGGATATCCTGTTTGATTTTTGAAAAAATATCTTGGTTTCCTATATGACATGGAGACTCCTGTCGCAGTGCCGGGCATGGTTCTGTCCTCACAAACATCACCGACAGTACCCAGGACCTGACTTCACACCCCAGGACCAGAAAAACAAAACACAGAAACAAACAAAAAAGCTCTTGCTCTTTTTTTGCCCAGTGCCAGTCTTGGACTGAGATCCTCCTATTTATGTGTCCCACATAATCTGGGATTACAATGTATGCCCCCATGACTGGCTTATTTGTCGACAAGAGGTCTTTTTGCTTGGAGTGACCGTGAACCACGATTCTCCCAGTCTCCTAATATATATATATATATATATATTTTTTTTTTTTTTTTTGGTCCGGTAGTGGGGCCTGAACTCTGGGCCTGGGCGCTGTCCCTCAGCTCTTCAGCTCAAGGCTAGTGCTCTACCAATTGAGCCACAGCACCACTTCCGCTTTTTTCTTTTTGCTTAGGTGGTGCTAAGAAATCGAACCCAGGCCCTCAGGCATGCAAGGCAAGCACTCTACCACTGAGCCATCTTCCCAGCCCCCTAATTTATACTTTTTATGGCCAATCTTTGGTCTTGAACTCAGGGCCTGGGTGTTTGCTGTCCCTGACCTTCTTTTGCTGAAAGCTGATACTCTACCACTTAACCCACAGCAGCATTTTTAGCTTTTTCTGAGTAGTTTATTGGAGATAAGAATCTCAGGGAAGGCTGGGCGCTGGTGGCTCATGCCTGTAATCCTAGCTACTCAGGAGACTGAAATCTGAGGATCACAGTTCAAAGCCAGCCCAGGCAGGAAAGTCTGTGAGAGTCTTATCTCCAGTAAACCACTACAAAACCGGAAGTGGCGCTGTGGCTCAAGCAGGTAGAGTGCTCGCCTTGAGCTGAAGAGCTGAGGGACAGCGCCCAGGCCCAGAGTTCAAGCCTCACGACTGACCAAAAAAAAAAAAAAAAGAATCTCAGGGAGGGCTGGGAAGTTGGCTCAGTGGTAGAGTGCTTGCCTTGCATGCATGAGGCCCTGGGATCGATTTCTCAGCACCACATAAGCAGAAAAAGCCAGAAGTGTTGCCATGGCTCAAGTGGTAGAGCGCTAGCCTTGAGTTGAAGAGCTGAGGAACAGCGCCCAGGCCCAGAGTTCAGGCCCATGTCTGACAAGAAAAAAAAAAAGAATCTCAGGGACTTTTCCTGCGCAGGCTGGCTTCAAACTGCAATTCTCAGATCTCAGCCTCCTGAGTAACTGGGATTACAGGCGAGAGCCAGCGCCTAGCTCCCTTTCTTCTTAAACCCTACTACAGTTCCTTGCACTGGGGGGAGGCCTCCTGTCCATCTGGGTGTCACATGGCGGTGTTGTGTCTGCTCATGCCTCTGTGCTTTGCCTCTCACCCCTCCAGGCATCATGGCCATCCTGTTCTCGGGCATTGTGATGTCCCACTACACCCACCATAACCTCTCCCCGGTCACCCAGATCCTCATGCAGCAAACCCTCCGGACTGTGGCCTTCCTGTGCGGTGAGTCCTCTGTGCTGGGCATCAGTTGTGGCCCTGCCTGGCAGCAAGTACTACACTCCCTGCCCGTGCTCTTCCTCCAACCAGTGGCCATTTTAAGACCTGCTCATCTAAGACATTTGAGACCAGCTTTTCCAAAACTGTCTCCTGGGAAAGTTTCTGATGCTGGGGATTGGGTGAGAAGACCGCATGGTAAAGAGAACATGGGAAACCCTGGCTTGGCCCGTGGAATGCAGTCCCTGCATTTCCACAGTGCCCATGAGCCCCTGCTGAGGGTCCCATGGGCAATGCTGCCCCATGGCTGGGAGCCAAAGACCTGCTCTTCCCAGCAGGCTTCCTATGCCACTGCCGCCTCTCCACCTCCAGCTCTGTCTCCTCCTCCCCCTCCTCCTCC